CTACACAAAGTAAATTGTCTTTGTAATAATGAATTGTGTCATGCGGTCATAAATCATATGAATTATGAGAATTTCCTTGTGTCACTTTATTGCATATGAATATTATATATCATTACCAAGTCATTAAGAATACTGCTGAGTTAACCTGTACTAAGCTGAATGCACATGATCGTCAAGTCACGATTTCAACTTGGAACAGTCCATTTGTACTTAAAAGGGCAACAAGGGACTGTATTAAAAATAAACCTGATTTACATAAGGACAGAACAAAAATGTTCTAAGTTAACAAAGGAGCATAATTATGAGACAACTGAAAATCATTGCCACAAAGACATTTCAGAAGTTTCAGTGGTTGTGGAACTAAACTTGCATACAAAATCTATACTAGGAATTTAGTCCTGAATTTAGTTTAAATTCGTGATAGTATTATTGCTGTTATAATTCCGCATTAGAATTGTCTTTATTTTGAAAAGAATCTTGTTAAGAACTGGAAGAGCTTTAATTGAAAGAATCATTGTAAAAAAGACATTGTTAAACTCCAATGAACCAGTATAGAATAACTTTGCAGGAACTGAAAATGGTAAGATTTTGCCACAGAGCCAGGGCAGACAGGCCTTGACTTGGTTGATTGATGTTACATTTTTATCTTGATACCTTCAAAACTGAACAAGAACATTAAAGAAACTCAGCAGGTAGGTGGTGGTGGTTGTTTCCACTCCAGATCACAGCTGTAAGCTATATTGAATTGACCAGAGCGCATTGTTCAGGGGCAGGCTGTCAAGCAGTTTACCAGTACTAAATGCCTTCACTTTTGCAAGAGCAGAGGTACAGTGTCAATGAACATGGAAAGGATTTCATAATCAATCACAATGAAAGTGATTTGCACTTGCCGAGAATCGAACACAGAATCGAACACGGGTCGCCTTATTCACAGTCCAACACTCTACATAGTGTATTGAGCTAACATGACTTAATACTACTCAGCAGGTTACAGAGATAATAAATTCCCCTTGTCTGCACGTAATTAGGAGTAGAATTTAAGAAAATTTGATGCATAACGAATAGAAAAATGTTGTCTGCACATTGGATTTAGAAGCTACTCGTCCTGCAGGACAAGTGACTTTGAAAATATTTTTCGATGCCTGGGTTATTGGTTCAGGAACCTATTAATTAATCCGTTTGCACCTGTGATATATGTGAGTATAAAAGAACAAAAAAAATCTTTGATAAAAAAATTCTGAAAAAAAAAAGACTTTATAAGGGTAAGAAATACATATAATTGCACTAGTTTTGAAATTGTTTTAGTAAATGTAGATCTTTCAAGTTATATGACTTTTTCAACTTTAAAATTCTAAAAGTTTTTGCAAATTTAATACCTCACACCATGCCCATGCTTATAATATCGCAAACCAGGTAAACATGAAATAAAGCGAACTTTCAAGTGCCACTGGAGACTGTACCTTTTTTTTCAGTGAACCTCAAAAAAAATAAATACTATTGGAAAGTTATCGTAAACAAGTGAAAACCAGGTCTTTGAGTAAACTATTTGGAGCTTAAGAAGATCTTTCAAAACACTCTATTTTCTGTCAATTAGCAAATCTAAATGATCGAAACTAATTATACAAAATTGAGAAGTCTCCTTACATCAATTACTTCATGGCTTCAAGACGAACAAAACACCAGTATATATTAGTGGTGTACTACCTGAACTCACTGACAGGAGGGTAAAACTTGAGGGGTATCTCGGTGCATTTCATGCAAACGATATTTGTGCTATTTTTAGAAGATGAAGCTTAGGTAGCACACCACAGTAATGTAAGCCCCAGCTTCGAATGGCCAGGGAGGGAGGATTTCTTGGATATAGTGAATATTCTGGATTTAAATGACTGGTTGTCTTTAAAATGCATTTTCAGCATGAAATTTGTTTTTGTGACATCTAATATGATTACTGGCAAATTCAAAAACATGGCCAGAAATCACATGCTGTTGATTATATATGTCAAGGCCGCCATTTTTTGTAAACATTGCTTTTAAACAGCATGCACGGTAAAAAGAAGTCATTTGACAGGGGGGGTAACAAACTTTTAGCAGTTAGCGAAAAATCTACAAGGTTTGAGGACTTGTTTCTTTGTGATATTTTGCATGTATGAGGGAGTTGCTAAAGCAGAGACGGTGTTCCTTTAGCCTGTATATTTGCAGATATTTTTGCCAGAGGGACGAAATGTGTTGTTTTGGTCTCGGGCCACTATAGATTTTGGGCTTCAACGGAATGAATTGCAACTTTTTTGAATGCCTGCCTATTGCAGGTGGGATAATTTCTTTGTAGATTTGCAATCTTATGTCATATATGTTCTCAACAAAATGTGTTTTCTTTTTCCAGGTTGTGTAGTTTGGTATCAGAATTATTAGACGTATTGCTTGTAGGACATTGACGGCAGGAACTTGAAATTAACTGTGGAGTGCTACCTTAATGGCATCTATGATATCTCCTACAGTATCATCAGATAATATGAAGCTGATAACTTGGCGTCCAACTTTGGAAAATTGATGCTTTAAAATGTCTACTCGCTTTATTTGTATATTAGAGTTCGCTGCATTTTGGGAATGATATTTTATTTTGGGAATAAAAAAGGGTGGTCATTTTACAAATGCCCTTAATTTATTTGGACCCAAATTTTCAATTTCAAACAAATACATATAACTATATTTTTGTTTGATAAGAACAATGTTGTTTTGGTGTGGTAGAATATATGAAGGCTTGCAAATTCACCAGTTAATCACAAGTAAAAATGGTGTTTTCATTGCAAATCCCTTCGTCATTCCTTTGGCAATGTGCAGGAGGGGGGGGGGGGGGGTTAGGGGCTGGCGCGATATGAAAAGATAAGTGCTCTCTGTCCTTGCAAAGTAAGGCTTGCACTTTGTAGGTCAATGTGGTGGTTTTTGTATTAGCCCCAAAAAATGGTGAAGTCATATCCAACAAAGGATTTGACTGGCTCTTACAGAGCAGAATCTTTAATTGATGGGAGTTTGAAAATACATAAGCCTCAGCAATTTCTCTGTAGTGCATGGGCTGGTGTGATCATCGACTAGTACATTAAACTCTTTTTTTTCGATGGACTATAAAATTCCTGCTGGTACATGGTATGTGAAAACATGGCTGTGACTTTGCATAGTGTTCAGACCAATAACAAAAGACTCACAAAAATTAAACAGCCAACCTAGACTCCTAATTTACACTGAGGTAGCACTCATACATGTTTTTTCACCGTAAAATTCTATTTTAACTTAAAACAATAGAATATTTTTCTTCATTGAATTTAATAGCCATATCGTTTCAAACAAATGTTCACAAAAATCCTTTCGAATTATAAAATGCTGCCATGTCAACCTTTTTCATGCATTCTTATAGATTCTAAAATATCATGTCTGAAAATAGGCTACATATTTTCTATAAATATAAACCACTGAACCCATATATTCTGTGACACTCCTGTTTCTATAACAGTTGTTTTGATAAGTCTTGACAAATAAATAATTGGAAAAAAAATTTAAGAAACATATAAAAATTCAAAAGCTGACTTATCATTAAGTGTTTTATTTCCTTATCACTTCAAACTTCAACAGAAATATTACCTGATTTTTTTCAACCATGACATCATTTTTAGCATATGTTTCGTCTCATGTGTGTTTTTATCATACAGCAGCAGCATGGTCCACTTTGCCAGAAAGTCCATAAAGGGACCTTACTTTGCAAAATTTAAATTTAGGATTATCTCCCCTTTTGATATGTAGATATTCAACAAGAACTATCAAGTTTGATATGAAAATGTAAAAGCTTTGACAGTTTTTGAAAAATGGACAATCACAGAAAAATTTACCAACACAGATGCCAACAAGTTCCACTTATTTTCTTAGTAAAATGAGCTAAAACACTGGTTGGTTCATACGAAGAAACTGTCAAATGATCTCAAGCAGAGGCAAGTTATTGAAATAAGCTGTTGAAACACTATTTGCCCATTTTTGGGGGGGTTATTTTGAAGTTGCAATAAGCATAATAAAGATAGTAAAAGTCATATGGTGACTATCCAGCTTCACAGGTGGGAGAAGAGCTCAGGTTCTCCTCTATGCACAAGTGAACACCTGAGTAGAACCACTAACATTCTAAAAGCTAAATCAATAGCTACCTCACATAAGGCCACAGAAAAATAATTTTTAGACTCTCATCCTCGCCCGCCCGTATCAAAATCTTTCCGCTCCAAAATAATTTATTTTCATAAAAAAAATTGTTCATCTCGCAGACGTCTGTGGACGAAAATTCGTCCGAAAATCGTGGTCGAATATTCGCGGGACGAACGCATAAAAATCAGACTGAGGTCTACAGCCTCTGGTGATCAAGATTTTAAATACGTTCGTTTTCGATCAGTAAAATTGTCAAATTGTTCGTCATAGCTACAAAAATGTAAAAGATTATTGTAAGTAACAAATCTTACAACATTTAGTATTATTCTCATTAAAATATAGATTTAAACACTTTTGTTTATTCATACATTTCTGTTTTTTCAGGTCTTAAAAGTGATGGATAAAATAAATTATAATTATAAATTCCACCCACCCGCCCCAATTATTTCTTGAAACCTGGATGAGAGTCTAAAGATTAATTTTCTATGGCCTAATAGAATCCCAAATCCCTTGCTTGCTTCAAACTTATAATGCCGAGGGGCAAATGGTTTAAAGTCAAAGACCTTAACCACTTAGCAACAGATGCTCCTCTATTCTGAGCTTAACCCTAAAACTTTTTTTTGTGAAATTTCATAAATAAATCACTTAGAAACTATCCAGTCAAATCCTATTACTCCAATGTACTAAGCTTCAAAATTACTGCAAATAATACCAAAAGAAGGATGAATTTGTACAATAATTAAAGATAAGTTTTAACTTTTGTCAAGCCAAGCCTTACATTAGGATACATCTGTATATAATATACAAATAAAAGATACTACCATCAGGTGAGCCATTGATAGGTTTAGGTGTCCTTGAAGGTATTGATGTGGTCCTTGCTGGTGTTGTTATTCCTTGTGTTGACCTCGAAGGAGTGACTTGTGACAAAGGGGCACCATCAAATACAGCATAATCATCTGAAAAATAAACAATATTGTGTTGCAATACTCCTATAATATAAAATACCATAACACCCACCCAAACCCTAGTTAGACCAGTAGATCAGAATTTCTGATATATACATACTGAAATAGAATGAAAGCAATAATGCACCTGTCAGACCAGGGTTTCTGATAATATATGTATACAGTATGTTTTTAAAACAAAAATCTATTAGACTTGGATTTCTGATCTATACAGCTGAAAAAGGACACAATTGCAAGGGCATAATGGCAAGGTAACAAATGAGATGCAACAATGATAATTCCACAATGATGAAGGCAACAAACAATAGACATAATGGCAATATCATTATGATTAAAGGCCACAATCTTAAGTCACAATGGCAATGTCACAATGGTTAACGGCCAAAAATACCGCCTCCGCGGTCGAGTGGTTAGAGTCGATGACTTCTAATCCAGTTACCTCTCTGGCGTGGGTTCTATCCCCGGGAGATGCTTTGGTAGTTTAGCGCGGAGGAAGGTAGTCAAGTACTGGTGTAACTCTCCAGGAACGATGGTTAGGAAACTACCCGCCTATATGACTGAAATACTGTTGGAAAAAGGCGTAAAATGACACAAACAAACAAAAAATAACGGCCAAAATGGTAAAGTCACTATGGTAATGTCACATTGGTTGAAGGCCATAATGGTAAAGTCACAATGGTAATGTCACTATGGTATTGTCGCAATGGTTAAAGGCCAAAATGGTAAAGTCACAATGGTAAAGTCACAATGGTAAAGTCACAATGGTAATGTCACTATGATTAAAGTCACTATGGTAATGTCACAATGGTTAAAGGCCAAAATGGTAAAGTCACAATGGTAATGTGACAATGATTAAGGTCACTATGGTAATGTCACAATTGTTAAAGGCCACAATGGTAAAGTCACAATGGTAATGTCACAATGATTAAAGGCCACAATGGTAAAGTCACAATGGTAATGTCAAAATGGTTAAAGGCCACAATGGTAATGTCACTATGGTATTGTCGCAATGGTTAAAGGCCAAAATGGTAAAGTCACAATGGTAATGTGACAATGATTAAGGTCACAATGGTAATGTCACAATGGTTAAAGGCCACAATGGTAAAGTCACAATGGTAATGTCACAATGGTTAAAGGCCACAATGGTAAAGTCACAATGGTAATGTCACTATGATTTAAAGTCACTATGGTAATGTCACAATGGTTAAAGGCCAAAATGGTAAAGTCACAATGGTAATGTCACTATGGTATTGTCGCAATGGTTAAAGGCCAAAATGGTAAAGTCACAATGGTAATGTGACAATGATTAAGGTCACTATGGTAATGTCACAATGGTTAAAGGCCACAATGGTAAAGTCACAATGGTAATGTCACAATGATTAAAGGCCACAATGGTAAAGTCACAATGGTAATGTCACAATGGTTAAAGGCCAAAATGGTAAAGTCACAATGGTAATGTGACAATGATTAAGGTCACTATGGTTATGTCACAATGGTTTAAAGGCCACAATGGTAAAGTCACAATGGTAATGTCACAATGATTAAAGGCCACAATGGTAAAGTCACAATGGTAATGTCAAAATGGTTAAAGGCCACAATGGTAATGTCACTATGGTATTGTCGCAATGGTTAAAGGCCAAAATGGTAAAGTCACAATGGTAATGTGACAATGATTAAGGTCACAATGGTAATGTCACAATGGTTAAAGGCCACAATGGTAAAGTCACAATGGTAATGTCACAATGGTTAAAGGCCACAATGGTAAAGTCACAATGGTAATGTCACTATGATTAAAGTCATTATGGTAATGTCACAATGGTTAAAGGCCAAAATGGTAAAGTCACAATGGTAATGTCACAATGGTATTGTCGCAATGGTTAAAGGCCAAAATGGTAAAGTCACAATGGTAATGTGACAATGATTAAGGTCACTATGGTAATGTCACAATGGTTAAAGGCCACAATGGTAAAGTCACAATGGTAATGTCACAATGATTAAAGGCCACAATGGTAAAGTCACAATGGTAATGTCACAATGGTTAAAGGCCACAATGGTAAAGTCACAATGATTTAGGTCATTGTGGTAATGTCACAATGGTTAAAGGCCACAATGGTAAAGTCACAATGGTAATGTCACGATGATTAAAGGCCACAATGGTAAAGTCACAATGGTAATGTCACAATGATTAAAGGCCACAATGGTAAAGTCACAATGGTAATGTCAAAATGGTTAAAGGCCACAATGGTAAAGTCACAATGATTAAGGTCACTATGATAATGTCACAATGGTTAAAGGCCACAATGGTAAAGTCACAATGGTAATGTCACGATGATTAAAGGCCAAAATGGTTAAGGTCATGATAGGAAGGCCAAACAGGTAACTAAGGTCACAGTGGTTACAGGCGACAATCACAAGGTCAAAATGGCAATCTCACAAAACTGCTGATTAAATGGACTATGGTTACAAATTTTTTTTAATGACAGATGCCTTCTGACAGGGATATAATTTATGCCAAAACTTTCTGTTCATTTACTTTTATATCTTCCTGTTTTAAACGAGGGGAAATTAAAAGTAACAGTCACTTGAGTATGAACGCACTATAAAGCTTTTATTAATTTGTTACTATTTTGGTGTGGGTTTTACCCTTTATTGTGACATGCATTATTTGTGTTTCATTATGTAACATATTATTACTTATTAAAGAGATGTCAATAATCAGAAACAGGACTGAACAAAAGTGCAGGTCACATTATCAGGTCACGAGTCAGAGAGACATATGGTGTGTTACTAATTTTCTACCTTTACTATTGTCAGAACATCACCTGACAGTGCCATGTACTGTACCACACTAAACAAACTACATCATTCAAGGTGCAAAAACACAAATATATGGATATATATTTTGACCTAGTTGGCAAAACTTTGCATAAAGGCTGTACAAACTTGTTGCCTTTGTAAAAATATTAACAAACTTAGCAAACCAGGAAACTGGAAGACCTGAGACGTATATACGAAACGAATTCTAAATGAACAAAATATGATGCACACCTTGCATATCTGTGATACAAATTTATACTAACTGGTAATTTGTACACACAACACAAATCTTAAATGCTCGTAATGCAAAATTAATACATTGTCTTGTGCACCCAATATTACATCCCCAACTCTTTCCCCCCCAAAAACACCCTGTAGTTACTGCTTTGGGACAACCTTTTTTTTTAAATTAACGACCCCTGAAATTAAGGAAATTTAAGTTAAGGAAAAGGGGAGTAACTTAAGTTAGCTTATTTTTCTTCATTTAAATATTGTTTGTTTGTTTGTTTGTTTGTTTCATTTTACGCCTTTTCCCCAACAGTATTTCAGTCATATAGGCGGGTAGTTTCCTAACCATCGTTCCTGGAGAGTTACACCAGTACTAGACAACCTTCCTATATTGACATGACTGTTTCATATTCACACCAAAAATACCTCACAACAAGTATAGCAAAGTTGTATACATGAGATATTTTAAATGTTTTGCCTCACATTTGCAAACATTTTTCCTTTTTATTGCTTGGGGTTTTTAACCGTTTTTTAATATTATCATAATGCACTTAACAATAAAACGACACACACATACTGAACACACACACACACACATATAACTAGATATATAAATATATTTAAACATATATTAATACATGATGGTTGAATCATATCAGCTATATTGATCTACCGAGTGGCTGCCTGCTGACACAGTCTCTGTCCTACTGACACATAAATTCCCCGCACTTTGATGTGGTTTCCTTCCGCAAGTCAATAGTGATTACTAGAGCAGCAGGTCGGAACAGGAACAATATTCCCTGTACATAAGTACTTTAACTATGCCTTCTGGATAAAATGTTCCCTATTATTAAGATTATCATCACTTTTCAAGTATACGAGTACTAAATAATACACCTCATGGCTATTATGTTTTATTGTTATTAAACATTATAGAAAAAAATTACTTCAGCAGATGTATAATATCCCATATGTGACAATAATTTACCATAAATTATAGCTTTCAGTGATATACAGAATTTTCTCATTTCAGTGTGAGGACATGGCAGCAATTTATCACCGAGACGATAAATCATTTTTCATAATTTTTCTGTTAATAACCGTCTGCATTTTATGACAATAAAGTAAATCTTTGATAGGACCAGCTGTATATTGCTATATGCACTCTCTTATAATTTAAGACTTTGTACAATTGACTGCTAAAATCTCTTAAATTTACAATTCATAAAATATTAAAATCATAAGACTATTTCTAGAATTTGTAGAGGTGGAGTGCGGAGGGGTTAACAGCATTATGTAACGGGCATGAAGACTGGAAAACATTAAAACACTTTTCTAAGTGCATTATGACAGAGAGGGGATAATTATGCAGTGGTCTTCTTCCTGAATATAACATATTCATTATCAAAGCATACTGTATTAATTAAAATACATGAGCGACGGTAAAAAATTGCAATAATGCATCTTATGCAATTTTCTTCATTTACGGACCTCACACAGTTAAAGTAAGTAAGATTTATAGTCTGCCATTAAAATTCACGATGATGTGCCTAATGGCGACATTTTCATCAGTTACCGTTCAATGTTATCCGGTTTTTTACCTTCGGTTTGTGCGAGGAATTCAAACGAGATACACACTAATTTGTCAATTCAACAGTTCAGGCCGAGACATAATTTAGTGTTTAAGGCAGCACAAGGTGACATTGTGTAGACTGTCTTGCCAAATCTTCAGAACAATGTCTCCTGTACTGTCATTAAAATTAATTTAATAATCGGTCAAAATCATGCAGATCTTTCTTCTTTTTTTTTCCCATTCAGTATTGAGCACCATTTCAATAAGCTATGCAATAAAATCAAGATGTTTATTGCCCTGCAATATCTATTCATTCAAACTCTGAATGAATTTTTGACTGCCATGCAGTATCAGCAAGCAGTGTTATAGGACA